AACAATGGCAAGGCCATGCAGATGAGGGAGTAGAGAAGACCAGTGAAAGAGTACTGCCTGAGAAATGAGAAAACTAAAAATATCTTGCATGAAGTAAGACCTCTGAGTGAACATTACACCTGTCAAAAAATATGCATATAAACTGCATAATTTTAAATATATATATGGTGAGAGATTTTCAGCCTTTAGCGTTCATACCAAAGAATTCATATTGACTACAACGAAATGTGTCAAGTTTATATGAGTACACAACGCAGATAAGAAGCCAATACCAGATCAAAAATGTTAATCAACTCAAGAATGTAAAGTTGAGGAGATGAGAAACTGAGCCAGGGGCGGATCTACTATGAAACTAATGAATCTTAAGTTTCAGGGCCCCTAATCCTGGAGGGGCCCCTGAAGCGACTTTACTTCACAGTGCTTAAAATTTTTGGATCTACTGTTTGAGAAGGGGAAGCGAAGGGGCCCCCATAACAGTTCAAGCTTGAGGGCCCCAAAAATGTAGGTTCGCCACTCGACAGAGCTAAGACGACAGAGACGAGAGGAACTGAATCGTAACTAACGGCTAGTGATTAAAGAAAGACCGAGAGAAACGTGATGATAATAAAGAAATAACCAAAGGATTTGACAGGACAGATGTGCAAAGACTTTGTAATCCAAGACACAGGAGCGAGGGACCTATGCAAGCTAAGCCCATGACATGCAACTGGGGTGTTACGAAATACTTCTTCAGTTTCAAGGTAGTGACTGGATTTAAGTTAGATGTAAAAGTGATAGAGGGGGGAGCTACATACAGTTTTTTATTCGTATATTCGATAGAACCAGACAGAAAAAAGAGAAAGCAGGCAGAGAGAGAGAGAGAGAGAGAGAGAGAGAGAGTACATGGAATTAATGACTATTGCATTATCTTAACGTTTACAGCAATGATAGTCAAGCATAAAGCTCGCTTCCCAGTGAGAGAGAGAGAGAAAGAGAGATAGAGAGAGACAGAGAGAGAGTCAGAGAGACAGACAAAGACAAAGAGAGAGAGACAGAGACAGAGGATGGGGAGAGAAAAGAGGAAGCAGAAAGACAGTTTTATCTTTTCAAACGACTTACCTACAATTTCTAAGTCACAATTATAATATCCATATTTTTAATTCAAATATTGCCCCCAATTATTTTACGTGGAAAAGCGACTTTTTATACAGAAATTTTGGTAGAAATTCACACAAAGTTCTCTTTCAATGGGAACAACAAGTTAATTAAACTAAAACAACATTTGCTATAGTTTTAGGGATGACAGAGTTGCAGTTTTAAACGTGTCTGGGTGGACACTCGGTTAATCAAACTCTCATTACTTGCCCAAGTACAGGTCAGTAGACTTGTCTCAGTGCCAGTAGACATGTCTCAGCGCCAGTACACATGCCTCAGTGCCAGTAGACATGTCTCAGCGCCAATAGACTTGTCTCAGTGCCAGTAGACTTGTCTC